AAGGACATGATCAAGAAGTTTGGCATGAGTGATAGCAAAGTCATTAGCACCCCAATGGGAACCAATGGCAACTTGGATAGTGATGCAAGTGGAAATATGGTGGATCAAAAGTTGTATCGGTCTATGATTGGAAGCCTACTCTATGTGACCGCATCAAGGTCAGATGTCATGTTTAGTGTATGCATGTGTGCAAGATTTCAAGCCTCACCAAGAGAAAGTCATTTGAAGGCTACAAAGAGGATATTGAGGTACTTGAAGCATACACCAAATGTCGGTTTGTGATATCCCAAAGGAGCAAAGTTTGAGCTAGTTGGTTATTCCGACTCGGATTATGTGGGATGCAAGGTTGAAAGGAAGAGAACCTCGGGCACATGTCAATTGTTGGGAAGATCACTTGTTTCATGGTCATCAAAGAAGCAAAATAGTGTTGCATTATCACCCGCCGAAGCCGAATATATATCCGCCAGTAGTTGTTGTGCACAAGTACTTTGGATGAAGTCCACTTTGAGTGACTTTGGAATCAAGTTCAAGAAAGTGCCATTGCTATGTGACAATGAGAGTGCAATCAAGTTGACCAACAATCCGGTTCAACATGCAAGAACAAAGCACATTGATGTCCGCCACCATTTCATAAGAGATCACCAACAAAAAAGGGACATTTGCATTGAGAGTATAGGCACCGAAGATCAACTTGCCGATATATTCACCAAGCCATTGGATGAGAAAAGGTTTTACAAGCTAAGGAATGAGTTGAACATATTGGATTTCTCAAATATGTGTTGATGCACCCCCCACTTATATGACATGCCTCTCCTTCGAGCAATCTAAGGTAAAAGTTGATTGCCATGACATACATCTTTGCTAAGGACATGTTTAGTGCATCTAGTCATTCCTCACTTTTTATTAGGCTCATTCATGAAAATCAAATGAATTTGATGTTCATATGGTACCACTATTGCTTCTATGCTTAATTTGATCTAGTGGTAGCATATGACATGTTTATGGGCTTGTAAACCTAGTGTTTAATTTAGAAAATGAGCTCTAAGTGTTTAACTCAACATGATACAAGATAACCCTTATTTGGAGGTGTGAAGAAGCTTGTCCTTGGATCAAACCAAGTTAAATATATTTGGTAAATGATCTAGATTGGACCAAATTTGGGAAAATGATTCTCACCCCATTGATTGGCATTGATAATCTCAACCTATCAACCTTTTAAACCTTTATGGTCATTGATGACAAAGGAGGAGAGAAACAAAGATATAAGTGATAGGGGAAGAAATAACAAAGAAATTAGTACATGGGAGAGAAACAAAAGATATTAGTGATATTAGTGTAAACAAAAGATATTAGTGATATTAGTGTACTAAGATGGTGAAAAGACAACAAAGGGGGAGAACTTGACATAGGGGGAGAGATATGATAAAGGAAAGGAATCAATTAATATTTTGAGCACACAAGTAGGGGGAGCAAGCTCATGAACTTGTATGGTGCATTTGAATGTGCATTTCATATATTTGCTTGCATGGCACAAGTTTTAAATTTCAATATCCATGCTTGTGTGGTGTGTGCTAGTTGTAGGTTTGAATGATGAAATGAAAAACTAGCATGCATAGGATATCTAATGATTTCATTTCCAAGTGTTTCCAAGTGGTATTAAGCTAACCATGGTGCTAAGGATGGTATAATGGTGCACTCCGATTGGTATCACGCTTCAAAGGTCCATCTTTTATACCTTAGCATCATTTGGTAGACATTGACTCCTATATTTCCTATCTAAGCATATGTGCAAGCTTCAATCCAAACTCTTAGCACATATGTAGGGGGAGCAATTGCTACCATTTGGGGTTCATGAAACTTGTCCATATCCTTTTACACATGGTAAATATGCTTGGACAAGCAACATGGATTCAGTTGAATTTTAATTCATATCTTTGAGAAAGGGTTGTCATCAATTACAAAAAGGGAGAGATTAAAAGCTCTAGTTTGGTTTTGGTGAATTGATGAAACCCTAAGTGCTAATCTAGTTTATCAAGTGATCATAATATAGGTAGCACACTCCAAGTGGTGAAGCAAATGAAGATCATAACATGATGATGGTGATGCCATGATGATGATCAAGTGCTTGGACTTGGAAAGAAGAAAGAGAAAAACAAAAGGCTCAAGGCAAAGGTATAAATTGTAGGAGCCATTTTATTTTGGTGATCAATACACTTAGTGAGTGTGATCACATTTAGAATCGATAGCCATACTATTAAGAGGGGTGAAACTCGTATCGGAATGCGGTTATCAAAGTGCCACTAGATGCTCTAACTCATTGCATATGCATTTAGGATCTAGTGGAACGCTAACTCCCTTGAAAATATTTGTGAAAATATGCTAACACATGTGCACAAGGTGATACACTTGGTGGTTGGCACATTTGATCAAGGGTGGTGAAGTTTGGGTGCAAGGGTAAGAAACTCCACTGGCGGAGTGTCCGCCCGTAGAGTGCGGATAGTCCGACGGTGCCACCGGTGCCCTAGACAGAAAAGACGGAGGTCACTAGGAGTGACCGGACGCTGGTCTCGGTTGGACCAGCATGTCCGGTCAGGTGTAACAACGAAGACGCTGGCGTCGGTCAAACGACCGGACGCTGGGTCACTCCATGACCGGACGCTAGCAGGGTGCGTCCGGTCAGTGCTGACGTACGCTGACGTGGAGCACACAGAGGAGACACTGTGTGACCGGACGCTGGCTGTGTCCAGTCAAGCATGACCAGACACGTCCGGTCGGAAAAAATTGCGTTTGGAACCTTACTGTAAACGACCGGACGCTGAAGTCCAGCGTTCGGTCACTTTCTAACTGACGCATCCGGTCCGCAGACGACCGTTGAAATCTGACGAACTATATTTGAAGCCGGGGACATGTGGCATGTATCACGTGACCGGACGCTAAGGGCCAGTGTCCGGTCGATCGGACCGGAGCGTCCGATCACCCCGCGCTGTGCCCAATGAAGGGGTACAACGGCTCTATTTCGTGGGGGCTTCTATTTAAGTCCCATGGCCGGCTCAAGCTCACTGGCTTAGCCATTTTGCATTGACATAGCAACCTTGTGAGCTCAGCAAAAGCCCCCCCACTCATCTCAATCATTGATTCATCATCATAGTGAGATTGGGAGTGATCCAAGTGCATTGCTTGAGTGTTTGCATCTAGAGGCACTTGGTATTCGTGTTTCGCTGCGGATTTCGCTTGTTACTCTTGGTGGTTGCCGCCACCTAGATGGCTTGGAGCAGCGAGGATCGTCGAGCGGAGGGTGGTGATTGTCTCCGGCTCCGATCGTGGTGATTGTGAGGGGTTCTTGACCTTTCCCCGGTGAAGAGCCAAAAGGTACTCTAGTGAATTGTTCGTGGCTTGTGTGATCCTCATCTTGTGTTGGTTGTGCGGCACCCTATTGAGGGTTTGGCGTGTGAAGCCAATTAGCGCGTGAACCTCCAAGTGAGTGAATCGCCACAACGAGGACTAGCTTGCCGGCAAGCAAGTGAACCTCGGTAAAAAATCATTGTGTTCATCATTTGATTCCGAGGTGATTGGTCTTCATTGTTATTCATTCTTGTGATTGATTGGCTCCTTCATCTACACGGCGGTATAACTTTCTTGATCACTCTTTTTACATTACCGCAAACTAGTTGTCAAGCTCTTTAGTGTAACTAGTTGTGAGAGCTTGCTTGCTTGGTTGGTGTGGCTCTTTAGTTAGCCTTTGAGAGCACACTAACATAGGGTAGTGTCATAGCTATTGTGTGAATAGATTCTCCCTAAACTAGAATTGTGGTAGGTGGCTTGCATTTTGAGTAGGCTAGCACAACACTTGCTTCGCCTCATAATTGTCTAACCCTTTTATTAAGTGTTGTTGTAGAAATTTTTATTAGGCTATTCACCCCCCTCTAGCCATTAAGACCTTTCAATTGGGCCCAATTATGTCGATTCAGAGCTCATTGGTGCATGCAAGCTCAGAGGCGCTCGTGCGCATCCATGCATGGCCTGTCGTCACATTGACACGTGTGATGAGCTTCCCTACCCTCCCACCTCATGTCTTGAACTTCGAGGCTTCGAGTGCATTGCTACCACCTAGACCCTGCGCTCGGTCTGGATCCGAGGAAGAGAGCTCGTGGGATGGCCGCCGCCGCTAGTGTTCCGATCCACCACCATGTGGTGGAGAACCCCATGCCATACTGCCCCCATGGAGAGAGAAGAACTGTGCTATTGTGGGCGAATGCACGAGGAAAAGGGCTAGTGAAATAGACCATATAAGTGGTGGAGGAGATGAGGGTAGTTGTCGGCATATTGGGGTTGACGCCAATGGAAAGCAAGCAGGGGAGAGCAAAAAGGGGCAGAGAGGAAGAAGAATAAAGAGGGATTACGGTCCATATGAAAATATAACGTATATAGCCTCCCCTCTGGCCCAAGGCCACCCCAAATGTAGGCCCAAGGCTGCGCCAAATATAGAGCGTGGTGTAATTAAGAGAGTACCAGAATTATTATGTCAAAAAAGTGAATTATAGCGGCGTTTTCCAGCAATCCAATTAACCCCATTTGCAAAGGTGAGTAATAACTTCAAGTAGTTCTTCCTAGCCAAGGAAATATGTGTCTATTGAACTTGGCAAGCCTCATCGTTATTACTATTTATTTTTTTTGGCGAGGGACTGATCGTTATCTTTGCATATGAAGTAGAATAGAATTGAGGAAATGAATATCACAAATTCACAATATAGTATAAAATCACAATTTGGCTGATAATATCACCAGCATTTTATTTCATGACATTAGGTTCTCAAAGTATGATTGTAGGAGCAAACGCATCATTAAGTGAACAGGCAACTTGCAGCTCGTAAAGGAGATCCTTAAAAGTTCATATACAACCACATGACCACAAATAGTGCTTCAAACCAGTGGCATCACTGAAATCTTAATACTGGAACATACCCATCAAAATATGTGTATTTCAGTAATGTGATGACCATTTATAGGGCCTCGGCTGCTGCAATGACGTTTTCCACTGTCAAACCAAGTTCCTTATATATTCTCCCCGCAGGAGCACTTATACCAAAACGGTCAATACCAATAGCTTTGCCTTTCTGTCCAATATATTTCTCCCATCCAAATGTGACCCCTGCCTCAATGCTAATTCTAGAAGTAACCTCATTTGGGAGAACACTTTCCTTATACTCCTCAGGCTGCTCTTCAAATAATTCCCAGCAAACTAGTGAAATCACTCGTACGGTTCTCCCCTTATTCCGCAGCTCACCTGCTGCATTTTCTGCAATCTCAAGCTCTGAACCAGTGCCAATGAGAATGAAATCAGGTTTGTTGCCTGATGAGTTATCGGAAATAATATATCCTCCTTTAGAAACAGCATCAACCGATGTTCCTTTCAGCTGCAGAAGCTTCTGCCGTGAGAGGGCAATGATTGAGGGCCTTTTCCTATTAAGAACTGCAATCTTATAGGCCCCTGATGTCTCGTTTCCATCAGCTGGACGAAGCATTAAAATGTTAGGCATTGCTCGGAGGCTGAATAACTGCTCAACAGGCTGATGGGTTGGCCCATCTTCCCCAAGGCCAATGGAGTCATGAGTCATCACGAAGATCACTCCAGATTCGCTTAAGGCTGAAAGGCGGATGGAAGCTCTCATATAGTCAGTGAACACAAAGAATGTTGCACAATAAGGTATCAGACCAGGGCTATGAACAGCGATGCCATTCGAAATGGCACCCATCCCATGCTCCCTCACACCAAAACGAATGTTTCTCTCTTGAGGAGTATCCCTCTGGAAGTCACCAAACATCTTAAGCATTGTCATATTTGATGTTGCAAGATCAGCACTACCTCCAAGAAATCCAGGTATCACTTTGGCAAGTGCATTCAAGCACTGTTGAGATAAGTTCCTAGTAGCACCAGGAGAGATTTCAGGAGCATAGGTCTGCAACGCGACAAACAAACAGAACATTTAAATGCAAATATATCTATCATTCACATGGATAACAGAATATTGATTACACATGACAGTTGACGTTTAGAAGAGCACTAACTGGAAGAGCATTGTCCCATCCTGAGGGCAGTTCCCCTGAAATTATGCTCTTTAACTCAGCAGCCTCCTGGTGGTATTTCTTTTCATATTCTACAAACCTGGCATTCCATTCAGCTTCAAGTGAAGCACCCTCATCAATATGGCGACTCCAGTGCCTGCGATTGATAAGTTATATAATTACACTTGTGTGCAGAACATATTGAGTATATTGAGTTTAAATACACTAATTTACTCTGAGTATAAATATTTTTACCCAAATCACATCATACATGTAACCAGAACCATTAAATATTTTACTTCAACCAGATCAAACATTTCATCGTTGTGTAGTCAGGAAGAACAATTTCATCTGAGAAAAATGAAACAAAGCATGGGTGCAGGTGGTTCTTAGATCATCGTTGTGTAGTAGAATTCCTTCTGACCCCTCCATTACTTTTGAGACCAGGTGCAAATATATCATGGTGATTTACTGTTTGCTTATTATAGCTCACACCCCTCTTTGAGAAACAGAACTCAATTAGCTATTTATAGTAATTTTCTCTTACAGTGCAGCATGAGTTTAGCAATAACATCATTGCTGAATAAAACATACCTCTTCACCTCATCTGGAACATGGAAAGGCTCATGAAGCCAGCCAAGATTGCTTCTAGTTGCCTCTACTTCTTTTGAACCTAAAGCAGTACCATGAACACTATATGTGTTGGCCTTATTCGGAGATCCAAAACCAATAGTGGTAGTCACCTATAAATTATAATGTGCCATTTATCTCATGGAGCTGCAGCAAAATGACAAGCAAATGAATAAATAAATAATATTACCAGACTGCCAGTTACCTTGATGAGAGTTGGCTTGTCTTTAACTCCCTTCGCTTCCTTTATTGCGGCACGTATGTCATCATACCCAGTGTTGCCATTCTTCACCCAGATAGTATGCCATCCTAGTGCCTCATATCGTGCAAGCACATCTTCAGTGAATGCAATATCTGTATTACCGTCAATTGATATGTGGTTGTCATCATAGAAAGCAATCAATTTTCCAAGGCCCCAGTGACCAGCAAGAGAGGCCGCTTCATTAGAAACACCTTCCATTTGGCAACCATCCCCAAGTATAGCATACCTAAGTAAGAACACCGAGTAACAACACCATATTACCAACATCCTAATTTGTGCATCACGAAAGTAACTCCAATTATAATGCAAGTGGCTAATAATTTACGTGTAATGGTCCACGATTTTCATGTCAGTCTTGTTGAAACGTGAAGCTAGATGTTTCTCAGCAAGTGCTAATCCAACAGCATTTGCAAAACCCTGCCCCAGAGGACCTATATGACATAAGAAAAGTTTAGATATCAATTTAACTTTCAAACGAAGGCATAAGAGGAAAAACAAAATTTAAAATGTTTCAGCTGGCAACCAGTGGTGACTTCAACACCAGGTGTTTCAAAATTCTCTGGGTGACCAGGAGTTCTGCTTCTCCATTGTCGGAAAGCTTTTAGATCATCCATCTGCGACAATAAACATGGATGTAAATATCAAAGTCAGAGTAAGATCATGCGAGACGAAGAGGGATAGTCACATAGAAATGAGAAATGAGCACACATGCTTTGAAAGAACATAGCAAAACAGGATATGAAATAGAGTAACATGTTGGTGGATCAGTACCACTGTGAAAAGCTTAGAGTTATGAGCGCTTTTGCTTTCAGAACAGTTTACTTTAATTCGCAATCCGTAATATAAATCTCTACCGTCTACCAATTTCGGTTCACAAACTTTCGTCAAATCTTTCTAAGAAACCTTAAGGTTAAGGGTATGTTTGGAACCTAGGAAAAAATATAACTGTTCCTACCTTTTTTTTCTGTGAAATTGAAGTGATTACCCTATACGATTCTTGCAAAATTCATGTCCAAATGAACTTATTCCTTTGTACTCCCCCGTCACATAAAAAGTGTCATTCTCGCTTCCTAAGAAAGAAAATATGTTGAACTTTCACCAAATATATAAAAAAATATTAATATTTATAGTACAAATATTAACATTTTTATAATAAACTTATTTGCACATACAAATATTACTAATATTTTCTACAAAGTTAATCAAACAAGTTTGACTAGTACGACTCCTGTGGCGACTATTTTTAATTTTTCTAAAGTATGTGACTCTTTTTATGGGACGGAGCCATTGATTTAAGAAAAAACTGAACGATGGGAAGAGTTACGACTTGCGTCCAACTGATTGCCGTCATCATTATCACTCCGCAAGGATTCATCCCTTTCGGTACTACAATAGTACATATTTAAGTTTTGCAGCCCGAAATTCATCAACATCAACACCGGTGTTTAGCAGCGAACCAGCTCACCTTGACTGCATCGTACCCGGCGAGGTGGAGAAGCGCATACTGGAGCATGCACCCGTGGCCGGCGGATAGCACGAAGCGGTCGCGGTCGAACCAGGCGGGGTTCTTCGGGTTGAAGCGGAGGAACTCGTCGAACAGGACGTGTCCCAGCGGCGCGCAGCCCATGGGGAGGCCTGGGTGCCCGGACTGCGCCTTCTCCACGGCGTCCACGGCCAGGAACCGGATCGTGTTCACCGACTGCTCCACCAGCTCGGGCTCCGCCGGCTGGGTTCTTGCGCGGAGCGCGGTGGTCAGCCGCGCGCCTGGCCTGGCCGCGGCAGCCAAAGGGAGGAGGGAGCAGGTGGAAGAGCGGAGAAGGCGGAGGACGCCGCGGCCGGAGCCGGGCGCCGCGGCAGCGGAAGCGGTGGACGCAGGGGTGGTGGAGGCTGGTGTCACCATGGTTGCGGGCGGATGCTTCTCGGACGCGCGTCGCGGTCACGTTAACGAAGAGGGCCAGTCAATGCGGCAGTGCGGAGGTGGCGTACTGGCGTGACACCTGGTCACCGGAAAGTGTAGGCTGCTCACCAAATGTTGTGGGCCCGGCGTGGAAGCAACTGAATTATGCCACGTCTCGCTCGACGTGTTTTCTCTAGTGAAATTCGTGGTTGTTAGGCGTTTGGATAGGTAGGACTTAGGACAGAGAAAGAGATATAGTATATAGAGAATTATCGATACTGAAACAAATTATGTTTTTATACACTTAAAAGTCGAACTTTCTTATCTCGTACTGAGTTGAAAGTTTCTTTTCTAAAATTTTCTCCTCTAAATTGCACTACCATCCATTTGGTCTAGCAACGGTGTTAAGTGGCTGTCAAAATGCCAGATATATCCTTTTTTAGCAGAAGTATGCGGTGCCAAATAGAAAAAGAATAAATGGATAGGTTGTCAAATAAAAAAAGTATAAATATCGCAAATATACCTATGAACTAAAACATAAGGTTTTCATAATTAAAGACTGCAAATAAGTAATCAATAAATTTTACATTATAAGTAAGAGTAGGTACACTTAGTTTCATGCACAGGCTTCACAAATTTCATCACAATATCAGCATACTTAAAGAAAAAAAAAGAGGAACCACAACTTGCACACCCACATTAGCTTAACAAATCCATACAATAGGTCCACACCATATATGCATATATTAGAGATCTCCGTACATTACCAGGTTCATAAACACATGAGTTCAAGTTTGTATTGTTCTACATACATCAGTTGCGCTTCATTATAGTTCATAGACCATATGCCTTACACATAGCCAAGCATCTCCATCTACATACAGAATCACAAGCTCAACCTTCTTTTGCTTCCTGTGCGCTTTGTAGGACTAGCAAGGTCAGTTGTTTAATTCCTGGTGCCCATTGCAGGCCTGTCAAGTGCCAGCATAGTATTTTTTCGGCTTTGAAGCAAGCTGTTTGTTTCTCCTTTTGGCCTTCTCTTTGGTTGGAGAATGAAGTTTGATGGAAATTGGCTCGGGCTGATTAGATCCTCTTCTTGACCTGCACATGTAGATGTATCGAGGTTGATGTTGGATGTAACAAGATAAGGAAGAAAGTACCATATGAAATGTAACATCTTACCTTTTTGATGCTTTAGAGTTGATGTTACCATGTGTCTTGTTTTTCTGGCTTGTAATCTCCATGCTTTGGCTACGGTTAGAGAGGGGTAAGGTAATTAAATTGGAAACCATGTTTCATTCAATCAAATACAAAATTTAGAACTAATTTGAACTCTTTGAAGGTCCAGATGTAGATTAAGCCTTTTTCTTCTTCTTCTTAGTTGTTGTCTTCTTAATTGGAGACTTCTTAGTTGTAGTTCCCAAGATTTAACTATGCTATTAAAGAATGTAATTAGAAATCATCACGAGTTGTATGTTCAGAGTAGAGATATGAACATGGCAAAGATTGCATTACCTAGGTGGAAAAGACATAGATGGTGCTGGTACTTCATCCTCTAAAGGCATAATAGAACTTTGAGCTGACTTTGTAGTCTTTCCCTTCTTCTTTCATGGTCCTCTACATTGAGCAATAAGAGATTAGTTAGCAGGTTGTTTACAACTATTTGATAAGGCACAACATAGACACATTTCTTACCTCACGACCTTCATAACTTCAATGTCATCTTGGTGTCCTTGCTTGCAATTGTGCTAACAATGCCCATAGTCCTAGCAAATAGGACACCAGTGCTAGCCCTTTCTTTTTCTTCTTCGTAGTGTCACCTTTATGTCTCTCAGTTTTAAGCCTACCTGCTACATGTCAATAGTGGTGGATGCATAAAAAAACCATGGGAAAATTCAGGCCATTGTGTCTTATCAGCCATAACAGGGATCAATTGGGCATAGGTTGCTCTAAATTTATCAATGGAGTAGTAAGAGTCGGAATTGGTTTTTCTTATTCCTTCAGTCGGATGGTTGCAAAGTGTCTACAAAGTAATATAAGGTGTGAGTGAACTGTTTATTTTCCTTTGTCAGGATTCTAGTTAATAGGAGCTCTCAATAGGAAGGGGCAGGATCTATGTTGGCGAGCATGGTAATGTCTTTAAAATAAGTTTGTATCCCTTGCGCCATTTCAATTAAATCTTTGGGAAGGACTAGTACGCTATGTTGGTTTACTCCTTCTAGAGCTAGCCTAAAAGTTGGAATGACTCTCCCCTCTCTCCCTTAACATATCGAAGGCCTCTTATCCGTCAACCACACCTTAATAGCTCAGACTTTCGATCCTTGATGGATGATGCCCAAGGGGTTGGGGTGAAATAGGAGTCGTTAGGGTTACGGCTACCCACCTAGACGAATACATTTGCCTTAGCTCTAGTGCTATGACACCAGTTTGAGCTAAGGGAAGCCAGCCAACCGCCCTCGATGTCTCAATCATCGAAGCTGAGCAGATAATTTGGAATCCGGCTGATCGGATAGGCGGTTCTAGTTTTGGGTGGATAGTTAAATGAAGAGAAATCAGCCTGGTGACCAAGAAGTTGGCTACTATTGAATTGCTGGTACCTATGCCACTAAGGGAGAAACTAGAGGAAATTCAGTGTGAGTCGTTGACATCAACCTTTCGCTTCTCAGCAATGTTTCGGTGGTGCTCTACAAGAGAATTTAGTACAATACAAACTACAACTAGATCAAAGCGGAAGGGCCACTCGCTATAGAAGCTATAACTAGCCTAACCCTAGCCATTAGTATGAAGTTTAGTAGTCTGTCAAACCCCCATGCGGCCATGTTCACGATTGAGATTAGCTTTTTTTCTCTATCAACCTTTACCACTATGTTTCCTAACTGCTCTACCAAAAAAATAGCTCAGTTAAAAGGTTTGTCTCTTGAACCCCCTCTTCCAAAAGGAGTGGAATGGTTGAGCCAGCTATAAAAATGCTTTTTGACTGCTCGACCACTCTCTCCTTCCCTGGGATACGCTCTCCTCAAACAAAGGGTTCCTAAATAAGAAGGATGGCGGCCTTCGTTCTTAAGTTAAGAAGAGTAGATGAAACTGGTTAGTTTTAATGTTTGCACGTACGAACTAGAACACCGGATTGGACCTTAGCCGGTTTCGAGAGCATTCCACCACTTTTTGGCGACTTTCATTGTTTCACCCATTTACAAAGTTTGGAAGCGAGGACGAAAATACTTCCTAATGTCGAATTCCAAAAACCAGCAAGAGGTTCCCCACTCTTCTTTGATTCGTCTGAGGGCCAAGTGGCAGCCTCAACCTGAGCACAGGGGCGATGTGTCTGGAAACTCAGGATCCAGACTTTAACGTTAAATGCTAGGGTTATATCAATCATGCAATACCTAAAGGCCAGCTATCAGTCTATCTGCATCTTCTAAGACAATAAAATCCTTCTATTAGAGAATGAGCGCTTCTTCATTCTGCTCTCAGTTCCAGCAACGAGTCTTCTATCTGAGAATTAAGGAAAATAAACTAACCTTGTCGCTCTATGTTCGCCTTGGCATGAAAAAGTCTTTTCCTAACTACAGAGTGTCACATGTGAAAATTAAGAGGGGTCTCCCGTCATAATTATCATTGAACATAATCCTTAACATATTGGCAACTAACTCCTTGTCGACTTTAATCAGAGACGAATTACATATTTTTATGGGTTCTCAAAGAAAATCACGGAGCTCCATATTTAATTGTAGCAACACATCGATAGTATGAAAATTAAAGTTCGATATACTTATCTCTAAACATTTGCTTTGCAACAAGAGAAATGAAACTATTAAAATTGTATTTTAATTTGATATAGGCGTAATAGGACATGTTCATTTTATTGTCAACATTAACTTATATTATAGTTATCATGGTCATTATAAAATAAATTATAGATTTGGAATTTTATATAAAATACAAAATATAAATAGATATGTACCATTCTTATCATTTCTCATTAAAGTTTAATAGTTTCTCCTGTATAACGCATAGGCTTGTTTAATTTGCTGGTTATTATAATATACATATCCTAATCCACGCATTCACTTGATATCTGGGTTTACTACTGTATAAGATCCCGTGCCTAGTGCATGAGGGTCGAACTCTTACATCTCTTCTTTCTTCTCTCCTCTACATCAATAAAAATGTAGACTAGCTTAGCTATGAGATCATTATTGTACTTGCTTTCAGATAAGTTTAGGCTTTTCAGAATGCCAACTTTTATACATTATCCCAAAAACAAAAGAAAAGCCAGAGAATTCAATAGAGAGCCACCATATTCTCAGATGTCCAGCGTAAACCATTCGTCACGGATAAATTTTCCACCAAAGTAGTGTTGAACAATTATTGGCTTTGGAAAAGGCCACCTGCATGTAAACAAATGATCCGTAACACTTAAAATACTTCACTAATTCCACATATTACTAGTTTAATCTAATATAGGTAACAATTACCTGTTTAATCCACTGCACGTAGACTTCTGAACGACAACTGCTCTTTCAATTTCACAACCCCTCACACCAAACTGGATTATATACAAATAAGAGAAGCAGCACCAATTAACATTCAAGAATTTGAGCACTGCTACAGCTTACAAATTTATGCATCGTCTCATAAATCATAAGAGAATAGATCAAACCTCAAGGCATATCCTCATCCCGTTACAATCGTCATGGTTAGCACCTATATCCAACAGTCTGGCACCCAGCTGATAAAACAGAAGCAATCAACAAAGATACTTCAGTCCTAGACGTACACATTTAAGGGCATATTTAGATTGCCTACACCTGGGACCAGAATTGGTATGACAGAGTGCATCTAACCCCGGTCATTAAAGCATGGCGTTTCAACCAAAAAAAAGGCAGGAAACAAGTTATTTTTGTAGTGTTTGAATTTGTCTTATTTGCTTGACCGGAGGTAGTAGCATGCAAGAAACCAAGTGTGGATGCCTGCTTGAGCCTACAGGCCTGGCTTCCTTCAGATGCAAGAAGTGCCCTAGGGAAAACAGCTGGAGGATGATTGCGTGGAGGTAGGAGATGATTGCATGGGGCCCATTGGTCAGTGAGAGGATGGCAAAAGGAAGATATAGGCTAGCTAATGCAAGGTGCTCTTTGTAAAATTCCATCCTAGTTAACGCCATGTTGGCGTTGGCAAAAAAATGCTTGCTAACAGATTTGCTAGCCATTTAAATTATTGATCGGTGACTCCAAACCAGTGCCTTCATTAAAGGAAGGATTATTCAAGACAATTACATGTTAGTGCGACAGACAGCCAAATTCTTACACCAACAGAAGCAACCTCGAATCCTCCTTATGTTAGACACTATACAAAGGCTTTCTATTCGGTTTCTTGGAGGTTTCTGCTGGAAGTGCTAAAATATTAGGCGTTGGGCCTATTTGGTGTCAGTGTGACATCCTCGGTTGTCTTTTAGCCTCATACTCAACACAGTTTCTTCTAAATGACATCCCTGGGGAGGTGATCCTTTGTCACCCATGTTATTTTTCATAGTGATGAACATTCTACGTTATTTGATCACCAAAGCCGCTGAGGGGCTACTTCCAGCCACTATCCTGCAACATCGGTTGTCTCTCTATGCAGAAAACGCTTTCTTTAGCTGCTGCATTCATTTGGTAAAGGTTTAGGGTTAAAAACCAATGTACAGAACTACAGAAGTGCAGTGTCTATAGTATAAACGCATGGAAGAAGATAAAGCTATCATCCAAAACCACCTTCCTTGTGAGTTGCTGGATTTCCCATATAGGTACTTTAGAAGTACCACTCTCCTTGAGAAAATTGACAAAGGCACATGAACACGCCCATAGACAAGCTTCCCTGGTTGGAAAGCTAAGGAAGGTCACCAGATTTTGGTCCAATTTGTGTTTTCTTCAATGCTGGTTTACCTTTCCATGGCCATGGCCATGAACCTGCTACCATGGGCCATTAAGGCTATTGACAAGATCAAAAGGGAATTTCTTTGGAGAGGAAGGAAAAATGCAAAAGGGGGTCACTGTTTAGTGGCCTAGACCTAAGTTTGTGTTCGTCGTGAAAATGGGGGACTCAGCATCTCTAATCTTCAAAGTCTCAGGTGGGCACTCAAGTTAAGATGGCTATGGTTGAAAAGAGACACCAGCTGACCTTGAACAGCATTTCAGATTCAGTTTCATCCTTGTGTCCATGATTTTTTGTCCATGGTGATAGAATCACAGTACCTCTAAAACGTAGATCAGGGGATAATTAGACTTAGATGGAGAAACTTGGTCATGTACCTTGCCCTAAGGCAGTTGAGGCCATAGCGCCGCAATGATGTGGCCGTCGGCGGCACGGCGTCGTAGTCGAACGCCGTGCGGTGGAGACGTGGTCCAGTGTCCCGGTGGTGGCACTGCAGAGGTGACAGTGAAGTCGGTGGCGGCTTCCCGTCGCTGGCAGCATGTTCTCTTTTTAGATCGGGTTAGGATTTCTCTGTTGGTGGGTTACGGCGGCTCAGGTCAACCTCGTACTTTATACCCCGGCCCCCCACCTCCCTTTTATGGTGCTGTGCGACGGGGGCCCACCAACCATGGAGCGGTTGGGCGTCCCCGATCAGGGCGCGGATCCAAGGGCCCAATTGGCTGGTGGAGATCAAACTAACATTCTCCCCCTTGATCTCACCTTATTCCTTAAACTTAACTTACTTACTTTATCTTGTTCCCATTCCATCACAGATCAGTGCATTGAGTGTGCCTCATCGTCACGGTCTGTTGTCATTAGATTAAACAGCTACAACGCACCTCTCTGTTTTGAAACAGATACTCAACTAGGCCTTTAATATCCAGAAATTATAGGCTTTCTCAAAAACCCATTTCGACTGTGTGTTCTCTGAACGTACTGGGTGGTTAGCCTTTAGTAAGCGGATCCACAAGTACTTACTCGGTACTTATGTGCTCAATGCTTTCAGAATGATTCTGGATTTTCTCCTTTACAACATATAACTTAGTGTCAATGTGTCTGGCAGCACACTTGACCTGTTGTCTTAGGAGTTAACTTATTTTAAATGGTTATTGTTGTTATCTACCATTGTTGAATCCAGGTACAAATTCCCTTAACCTCCTTTTGCCTGTTCCTTAAGCCTCATGTTAAGCTATACTATGGTATGCATCACTGATAACGCCACAATTGTTTCTTTGGAGCTTTTCCACAATAATACTTCAACTGCGAGTGTTAGCAACTGCTGTGGATTTCACTATACATCTCGCCAAGACTTAACTTTTGTACCCTCAACTATTTGAGAGTACTTATTCTTTCTTACTCAGCATGAGGCCTATGATACTTTGTAAAATTACAAGACATTCTCAACTCAATTCCAGTGATCTATATCTGAACTGGACTTCTGCCAAAATATCCCGGATACATAAACTGCGTCAGGGTAAGTTCTTACTTGTACTTGTACACACATCAAGCTTCCAACAGCTGAAACATATGAAACCATATTCTTTTGATCGATCTCATATCGGTTCCTGGAACACTTAAAGTTCCCAAAACTATTACCCTTGACTATAGGAGCAGGCGTAGGTTTACTCGCATGCATACTTTACTTCTTTAGAATCTTTTCTAAGTATACCTTTGCGATAGTTCTAATACCCCATTTTCTTCTATCTCGGTGAATTTCGATTCCTCGAACCAATGACGCTTCACCAAGATCATTCACATTGAAACTTGAGGACAAAACTTCTTCTCTAATGTCAGATTAACATCACTACAAATGAGTAGAATGTCATCTATTCACAGGATGTGGAAAGTGAATTTTCCATTCTTGAGCTTTGCATAAACACTATTGTCCTTCTCATTTTCTTTAAAACCCAAACTTTCTTATCGTTTCATCAACTTCAAATACTACTATCTAGAGACTTACTTTTAACTCATAAATGAATTTTTACAGGCGGCATCCCTTATGTTCTTTTCTTCCACGACAAAACCTTTTGGGTTATGCCATGTAAACATTTTCATATAAATCCCCGATGAGGAATACCGTCTTTACATCCTTCTGATGTATTTCTAAATCGTAATATGCCATCAACACCATTATGATTCTAAAGAATCCTTGCATGAGACTGGAGAGAAAACTCTCATCGTAATCTTTTCATTCTCTTTGCATAAAACATATTACTACAAGTCATGCTTTATATCTTTGTACATTCCCTTTGGAGTCACATTTTGTCTTGTAGATCCATTAACAACCTACTCTTTTGGCTCCATTATGAATTACTTCTAAATCTAAAAAAATCGTTGGTATTCATCTAATTCATTTCAACTTCCATAGCTTCTTGCCATTTAAACGAGTAAACGCTTCTCATGGCTTATTTAAATGAGGTGGAATCACCCTACATTTGAATTTCTTTACTAACATAGACTTCATAATCATTAAAAAAACTGGTTTACTAATTCTTTGAGACCTTCTAGGGCCTCATCTACTGGCACTTTCATATGGGGCTGTTGTTGCTCTTCATTGCCAAGAGACAATTGATTCTACAGGCTCCTATATTACAAGATCCTTATTTACATTATTTATTTTCTTCGAAAAGCCAACAACAGATGTTGTATAAGTCATACAACATCAACAGGTATTGAGAGATTCGTTGTTTTTTTGAATCACTGAAGTGGGCATGCAGTCCCGCTTATCTTCAAGTCTTATGTCTCTACATACCTCTACATACCATGCTCCCCCAGATCTTCCCATCTTTTCTAAAGATAGTGTATCTTCAAATATCTTATTTTGGGTTTAATCTGTTAAAATCTCATATGACGCTTTAAGCACCACGTGACTACGCTATTTTCCTGTTGGAACTTTAAAAGGTCCAGGAATTTAGCTATTTCTCTATTTAGGGGTATCATTGTTGTAACCGCTGTACTCCTCTAACGGTCTTTATCTCACTCTTAATGAAGAGTATCTTTCTTAATTGATCTTTATCTCACTCTTAATGAAGAGTATTTTTCTTAATTGATCTTAATATTCTTCCCCTCGAAATATGGCATGAACTTTACTGCCATAATTTCGATAACTATTCAGAAACCATGTAAACGAGGAGATACTAATAACTTGTTTCATTCACATGATTGTGTCATGTAAACAAAGTTATTTCTTGATCCGTTTAGGAGTACACTTTCCTTAATTCACTTTAAGAACTTAACGAGGTCTTTCATTAGCAGTACTTTTGCAAGTCACGCTTGCATCTTTTTCTTATCCTTTGGTTAGTATTGATCATGACGATGTATTTCTATTGTGCCATGGTCAATACTAAGATAGCATAAGAGTTACCCAAACTTCTCTCGCTATGCGGGATACAAAAACATATAAGTCATCACAAAACTTTTCCCGACATGCTGGATGGACTAGCATAATTACTATGTCAAAACTTCTCCCCATGCGGGATACATCTATACGAAAACTTAGTCATGACGACTAAAACATTCACTTACACTTCATTTTCCAATTAAATCTTCCCGTTGGTTCTAATTTAATCAGAAAATTAGTAAGCTAACAAAAACTGTCCTAAACTGGCTTGACTCAAACCTTTTCATTCACATACCCCAGCATTGCAGCCCGTTGGCATGCAGCTGAGCGATCTCGTTGGTTAAAAAATAAAACATACAATATGTTTTTGCATCAATTCTATATCACCGTTGGGCATAAAATAGAATTAATGCATAAAACTCATAAATTAACTTAAAATCCATATAACTACTCTTAAAAATTAAATTCTCCCGTTGATTCGAATTTAATTGAAAGATAATCAACTTCATTGCAGCGGAAACTTGATAATAAAATACATTCTTTTAGTTCAGGAACATTTATTGGTCCATATCTGCTCTCTGAAAAATTGACCACGTTGATGTAAAATTTATTAGAGATTAAAACTTCAAACTTAAATTTATTATAATATTGTCATCATCAACGTTGGTCATAAAATGACAATACCATAATCTTACATGAACAAAAATGGACTACTCCTCTAATTAAATTTTCCCGTTAGTTCCAATTTAATTAGAGGATCAACATAATCATAATTTACTAAATATAACTGCTCTTCAAATTAAATTTTTCCGTTGGTTCGAATTTAATTAGAAGATAATCAGCATTAAACTTTGCAGCGAAAACTTAAACAT